ATTAACCTTTAACCTACCGTAGTCTGCTACATTATTTCTATTGATATGGATCTTTATCCTGTGTTTGCCTGTGATCTTTCTGATTGGCTGACAAATTGGATCGATTTCGATGTTTGTTAATTGTTGATTGAGCTGAGTGCCAAGCTTTGAAGATTTCACCATTTTTCTATTTGTGCGTATATGTTTACAGAAAAGCGACCCATTTTTAGCTTGTTTTACCAGAAATCGTAAGACATTAAAGAAATTCCCTAAAATTAATCCTTCTTCTGGAATCCTATTAACAGTTTAAGTAGGATTCCCTCTTAGTGGTAAATTAACTTAAATTATTCGTAATACTAAGCAACTATGCACAGACACAACTTCTAGCATACACACATGTGTAAAGCTAGGTAACGTTTCTCGTTTATAAATGGCAGTATTAGTTACATGATTGGTTGGGTAAAGAAAGGTTTAAATACTTTTGAAATGGTAGTTTGAGTATTTCCATTGATAGTTAGGACTGCAACTGATCAATGCCATTTGGTTTATGTACACCCTACGAGGATTACCTCGATTAGGCGAATAAGTTAAAAGCACTATAAACAGAGATGGATAATGGTTTGCAGTGTAATCCAGGACTCACGTTCGATCCTATCTGGGACTTGGCATTTTGACGAACCTGCGTCCAGACGGCCAATACAACTGAATACAACTTCACCTCATTGCATTAGTTAGTGGCTGTCTAGACTCAGCAGCTAAGTGGTTAATGTTATGGCGCTTAAAATGTACAGTACTGGGTTGACATTACAGAGTGAACATCATAACTGGGATACAGGTACATTGAGATGACGAGTCCCGAGCAGAAAGAAACTAATGTCCTGGATTCCATTGCTAGCCACTATCCATCTGTGCTCATAATGATTGTCTGTCCGATGAGGAAAACAAATCTCAATGAATCTGATCCCAGAGATGTGTTACCAAGTCATCATTTCGCAGTGTGCATCAGTTATAAATGCTGGTGCAAAATGTAAAAAGTTGACACGATACATTCGAGTTGTAATATGTTATTTCACACAGCATTTCTGCTTTGATTTTCTAAGCTGGTTAAAAATTGTCGCGGTATCATCAATAAATCGTTAATATATATATACAACTTATTTATGACTTTTCTTTCTGTCGAATTAAGTTTGTCAACTCATGATGATCTTAAACAATTGCAGATTCATCAAAAATCTACACGTGAAATGTAAATGAAACCAACTATTCATAGTTGATTTATCGTCACAGTACATCGTTATTATCACTTGGGAATTGAATAATTTATCAATGCATGTTTTCAGCTGAAAAATCTATTCTGTCCGGTTTAAGATCTCGTGTCAAATTTTATTACAAAATTAAAATATTTCACAACAGATCTATCTGACTACTCTTACCAATATCAAAACAACAATTATTAATACAACGATATCTCAATAATAAAAAGACCCTTCTGAAAGATAAAATTTTGATAACTGTGAGGCCGAAGTGGGAAACGACTAGATTGACGAAACGAGTAACATCTCGACTGATGAGGTGGAAATTTTGGAAAGCAAACAGCTACAAATTTCTCAGCATCGACCAGATTTTTGAAAAAGCTTAATCAGTAAACATATGCAAAACAGTCAAATCGATGACAGCTTGGCTACCTGCACTATTTAAAATGCCAAAGTTTCATTAGCCGGATTTTTAATTAGAACTAATAAACCATGAAATTGGATTTCATGCTTGACAAACGAATACATAAGCAAACAATAAGAGCAATAATCGAATCATCAGTAATTAATCAGAATAGCTAAAAATTCTTTGGCTAAATGAAGGAGTGTTCCACTCAAATGACTTTGGTTGAAATTCTAATTCGACTTTGGAATTAGGGTGATAGCTTGAACGTTTCTGAAAGATGCATAAAAATATCTCGAGTTGGCGAACCTAACTGAACCTAGAGGCTACAACAGAAAATCCAACAACATTTTTAGTCAAGAAAAGCTTTAAATGAATATTTTTTACCCGTCCAATGATGATGTGAAAAATAAAAGAAAATCAAATTCCCCTTGTATTTATATGTTCAATTGCTTCTATGGTGTAAGTTACATTTTTAAATCGTACTCTTCCAGCTAGAAGATTTACCAATTAAATGAACTAAGAAAAAGGAAGTCTGCTTCAAGAAAAGATTATATTCATTCTGTACTCTTCTTTTAACCAATATCCAACCCAACAAATCAATATTCGTTTCCATTGAATGACCTATTTTCATTAATATGTAAATAGCCTACCCTTTGAATTTTCATAAGTCAAAATTAATTTTATGCAATTATTATAACTAATACCTTTAACATTCGAACAATTTATTCAACAATTATTTCATTTTACTATCTTTCAATAAAATTCATTACATTCAATATAGTACATAATCCTTTGGTCAAAATACTGATTTGATTTATAAGTACATTATTCTTTCCCTTAATCCACGTTAGTCACGCTTATTTTGACAGTCGATCACGCAACTTTGATTGATCCATAGTCCTTTTTCAGGTAAAATTATGAACTAGTTAATTCAACAAGGTTCGAAACATTTTACTAACATTTGTAAATCTAAAACCAGTTTTATTTCTTTATAGATATGTATTTATTAATTTAAAATTAATAGAGCTGTAGAAACTGGTGAGAAGAAATTGATCATGTTACTCTTTTTCATATGACCGTGTGATTGCAACAATCATTAATTACTATCTGATAATAGTTTGCATGTATAAATAAATGTTGAAGCATCCATCATACATTAGTAGTATGTACTGAAGAACATGAGTAGTTTTATTTTTCGGATTCTGATGCAAATAATTACATTAACATGATACTGACACACTGCAGCATATATTCCCACGCAATTTAAAGGATAATTTGAGTAATTACCAACAATTTTAAAATTACATTTACCTGAAAAATAATAATTTTCATTCACAGTCATTGTAATGTCGTATTCTACTTATTCATTCACTTGGTTCCTATTAACACTGACTGTTTTTAATTGTTTAAGACGTATATGATTATGTTATGCACTGCTTAAGTAAAGTTACATTTTTGAATGTTTATTAGTGTATTTAGGTTATGAGCTTCTCAAAGTAAAAATCTTGTGGTGGCCAATTTCTACGTGTTCTTAATCCTCGTAATTAGCTGGTCCAGACAACCGTTACTAAATAGCGTCTGACGGCTTATAAATCAGAAGGTGAACTTGAAGCGTTGAATACGTTTATTTCGGCACACCACAAAACGGGATAGCAGACCACAAGCAGACCGGGCAGGCACACTAGCGAGTGGATGTGCAAATGGGCGAATGTACGAATGAATTAATAAGATTAAAGTGTTCGTATATATACATAGGAAGATATCTGAGTCATCGAGGTATTTAAGAGATTAATATTAAAGCGAATAGGATGAATATGCACGTATGCAGTAAGCAGTATTTAGTCGTATCAGCTCATACAAACCAGACAACAACAATACCAATGGTACAAATGGGTTCTTGCTATACAAATAGCTTGGTTACATGAGTTAATGGAAAAGGCTTAATCAAATTAAATATGAGCGGACTCAAGTTTATGTGAAGGCACTACAATCTTATAATTCACCTTATCTAACCTCATCAAACATGTCATAAACCATCTAGCGTTTTATTCAATAATTTGTATGATTAAATTTAACGCATCTTTTTCTGTATAATAAACCTAATCACAAGAATACTTTACATTCACGCTTCCAACACAGCCCGGATTTTACTTGAAATATGATTCACTGCTGATGTGAATCTCCCAGGTTTTCTATATTATGATAATTTTGTTTGATGGTGAAAACATTTGACAAACGATCAATTATTCATAACAAATTTAAAATTTATTTATCATTATCATGTTTAACAAAGTTCATGATATATTTACTTACATTTGTACAAAAATTTGTATTTATTTATAAAAAATAATACACAGGTATGAGGAAAATGAATAGTCTAGATTGGAATTATGGCGAAAATTTTGTTGAAAGTAATTGATATATGAATCAGAACTTAGATTCTGAAGAAAACATGAATTCGTAAGTTAATTCAATAAAACAAACCAAAGGAAACAGATCGATTTTTGCTAATCACAATCACAAGAAACCAAATACAAAACACAATTGGCATAATGCATTACATGTGTTACAAAGCAATCAAAAAAAATAAACTTCATTATTTAGGGGATCAAAGTACTAAAGGGATGTGCAAATTGATAAAAACACAAAGCTTTGTAAAGTGCATGAACACAAGAGTTTTATCGATCTGCTATCCTTTTGAAACGATAGCCAAAAATGTGTAACTTGATTAAGTGAGTACATAATAGATCTATGTCCTACACATATGAGATCACTACTCCATTAGCTTTTTAAAATAATAATAATTGTTTGTCGAACTAAATTAGGGCTGTGAAAATGCTGTATGCCAAAAAGGTTATTATCATTCATACGTCAGCGTCCTGTTTATTCGGCAAATAATCATTCAGCTTCGCATCATTGTAATTGCTAAATGTAGTTTTTATTGCTGAATATGTATGTAGACATGTATATATATATATATATATATATATATATATATATATATATATATATATATATATATATATATATATATCGTGAATATATGATGCGCATCTGAAACCTATTCGAGATATATATATTTCAAATGATTTCTAATACATACATTTACTGTGGTTTAAATAACATCTATAGTTTTTTTTATTGAAATAATTCAGCAGTGTAAAGGAATAATGTATTCACCTCAATAAAATCAAATAATAGAGAAAAAGAAAATGCAACTCTAGTCAACAGTATAACTCAGCTTGTTTGTTTTGTACATTGGATTTGTTTTTCTTAAAAAAAATTTATAACAGTATTAAACAATAAACGTTGCCTAATATAAATAATTATTTTATTTCCATAATCGTTAATCAAATTCAATGTTATTTTGAAAGTTTACTCTTATCTGTTTGTAAAATATCTGTTGAATTCAACGATTCTGTGACACTTGACTGAGAGTCATTATCAATTACAAAATCATCGATACTTATTAAATCTGATTCAGCTCTTAAAGATGGTTCACTTATGGTAAACTTTTCTCTTGCTTTTTCTAATTCATACCAATAGTCACATGTACAAATATCAGCTTCTGAATCACATGATAATGTGAATAAATAAGGATTAGCTTTTGTCAAATTACTTGGCGGACATTCTTTATTGGAATTTGTTATGAATTCCTCTTCATCGGGATTTGTTTTTCTTGGTTTTTTCTTCTGACTCGGTCTAAATGCTTTATGATCAGATTTTTTATCTGTACTTGGTTTAAATACAGAGAAATTATTAGGTTGATGCTGTCCAAGAAAATTTGTCCAAATATTAGTTGAATTATTCGGAATATAAGACGCAGGGTTAGTAAGTGTTGATGTATTTTCAAAGTAAGGATTCATTTTTGTTGACCATTCAGTATAAGCTTGCAAACTAGCTAATTGAGCTGGTGTTAGAGCTGGTGAAGGGAAAATTGGTTTTGGATGAATCTTATGTGAAGGATAGTATTTTAAATAATTTAATGATTTCTTTTGAGGAATAAACTTGAGATGATGACTTTTGTTGTCCGAAGACTGGACTGTATCATCTGTTTCAGATTCAACATTATTCAAGGATTCTTGTAAATGGGATTGTCGAATATGAACTTTGTTTGGTGTTGTATTATTGATATGATCCTCGTTGTTATTATTAATGTTGCCATTGTTATAACCATTAGTAATTACCATAGGTATATTATTCTCCATAGTCTGATAATCATACTTACGACGAGGCTGTTTAGTAACACGCCTTAAATTAGGAACTTTTATATTTTGCAGATTGGAATCTTGGTTATAAAAAGTTGCACTATGTTTTGATATTGGACACATAAATGATGAAGAGTAATATTCTGGATTAACAAAATAATTAAAATTAGGATTGTGAGTTAAAGGATTCCGTTGTAGTTGTTGCCTTTGATGCTGTTCAATTAAAGCTTTTTTAACACGGTTTCTCTTCGAATTATGTATAATTCTGTAATTACTCAATAAATTTACATTGGATGTATTTTTTTGTTCAGGACCGAAAACTGTTCTTAAATCAATGGTTGAACGACTGGCATAACCATTTTTATTTACGAATCGATTCGAATGGATTGAGTTTTGTAAACCTCGATGAAAGGAATGTACTGGTATAACTTTACCTTCTGCTTTTTTGATACTCATCTCAAGATTGTTCAAATGTCTGCTTGTTCGTCTTGTTTCTTTTGCTTGACTCAAGCTTTCAGGATTTGAAAATAGGTTGGGGTTATCGATTAAATGTGAGTTTTCAATGGTTCCACCCAAAAAGTTTTGTTGTGTAACGGGTGTTTGATCTGTGGATGTAGGAACATTTATTAAACTATCAGTTTTCCACAAAGACTCTGGTTCTTCCATAGCGCTACATGAATTCTGTTGATCAGAAGTATCTGGACTAGGACAATGTTGAAGAGTAAATTCTTGGAATGGTTCGAGTAATTTTCCATTTGATGATAAACTTGTGATAGGTATTTTTGGTGAAATAAGCCAAGGTGTTTGTCTAACAAGAAAAGGATTGGATGTTTTCAATTTTTGACCGGGAGTATATGGCACTTTTTCAGAATTCAGTGATGGCACTGATGTAAGTAATGCATGGTTAGTTAGTGGTTGTTGTGATTGCTGGTGTTTATCTTTCGAAGTTGTATTATATCCAGCTAAAAAGTCGCTTGCGTCAAAATCATTTGAAGAGATACCACCTATTCTTTGCTGTGAACTCTCTGAGAAAGTTCTGTTTCCATCAGTAGATGATGATCGTAACCAAGTTATCAAGTTATAAATCAATTGCCAGTCACTTATTTCAATCATTAATTCTTGTCTTAATTTTTCCAGATCACATACTGAGAGCACAATCCCATTAATATTTAGTTGTTTAATTCTGGATATATAAGATTGCATATGAGACGGGTCAATGTCAACGATACTTGAAAATAACTCACAGACATCATTAACTGTGAACTGATTAATTGGAATAGACTGATATCTTTTCTGCAAAAACAGAAACATTGCACAAAAAATGTTTCTTAAATAATACAAATTTATTAAGTTGGATTTATTGTGCTATTGAAAAATATGTTAATGTATGTAAGTGGTAGTCCTGTCTGCATATTACTTTCTGCACATTGCTTAAGTAATTTCTTGCTTTTCATGCTATTACATCAATGTCTATTGACGTGACGTTATGTTTGGTTTCAATTAATAAATTCAGTACTGAATTTCATATTATCTCCAGCTCAGACCGTAACAATTGCTCTTTTGAATGATAGCTAACTTAGTTTTGCTAAAGTAGATCACTTTTTCTTATAGTTACCGTTTATTTGAGCGCATAATCGATGTGTATATCCTGCTACAAACGACAGCAGATAGGATACAATAATGACTGGTTCGGCTGATAAATTACCATTGACAAAAGCAAAAGAAAATGAATTCTGTTTGAATTAACTAGCAAGTAATCTGCATAATTTCGTTTTCAGGCTGTCATGTATGGTGACATAAAAGTGCTCCCTAATCAGCAGTAAGCAGTTTAGGCTTTTAATAAGGGTATTATTTAAAATTCTATTCAAAAGGTGTATTTTTAGGTAGATTATTTTTTTAATCTGTCTCATAAAGCCTATAACTTTTGTTTTTATACTGATTTATTCAGAATCTATCGAAACTGCATTTTGTTTTATTGAATTAAAACATTTGCATTTTAAAAGGATCATAAAATTCTTAATTGATTGTGTTAGTTACAGATGTCGACCACTTTAACTGACATAAAATTTAATTTATCTTAACTAAATATCAGAACTAGTTACGTTTATTATGATATGCTTCTCGAGAAAATGTGCTTCAATTACCCAGATTTTATGTATTCAGTAGCCTACGCAGCTATCCAACCAAACAGTGGGAAGCTAAATATTCCAAAAAGTTTGATACAAGAGTGACATACTAGGCATCATAACCAATGATTTGAAGTGCACACTAATAAGTCGAGCCCAAATTAATTAGTCTCAGCCTTTGGACCAATCAATAGATCCATTCTTTAGCTTTTCTCACGTCTTTCCACCTTGTCTGTTATTCGCTCATAATCTTGGTTGTTTTTACTTGAGTGTAGGTGTGCATTGCTTGCTTTGATTGTCACATGTCTAGCTTATTTTCGTCTGACTGTCAATACTTAGTCATACCTTATCACATGGCATTAGCCGACTTTCCTTCTTCGCTTCACTTTCCAGCGCTTCATTTATACATTTTCCATTCTTAGGTCTGTTTGCTTACTAAATGTATGGGATACATTCATCCAAAATAAACCTTATTGAGCTTCTTATTATCGCCATCGTACAAACCGAATTAGCCAAAAAGTATGAAATATGCTAAAAATAAAAACAAATATTTACTTCATAGCATATTCGATTGCTCTTATAATATGGAGTCAGATCCTGAGCCACTAAAAATTCAAGAGACTACACATTCATCGCACCTTGGAAGAAACTATCATTTCTGATTTTGTGATATGATGATGAAGGGGTATATTGTGTAAAAGCCAACTGTGCAAAGTCAAGCTAAATATTTAGAAATAAAATTAATATTAGTATTTTGATTGATATTATAAGCTATGTGGAACCCACCTTCAAACTCACAGAGTATGGTTTATTTGAGAAGTTAAACCCTTTTGCAGTTGTATCAGACGAATATGGCCAGTAAGTATTGGAAGGAAGATTTTCAGCAGACGATAATGAACCAGTTGCTTTGCAACCTATTTGATTAGCATAACCCTTTGAAGAGTTCAACTGAATACTTGCATATATGGGTATTGAATTTGTCTGTACCATATTATCTGACGCATTACTATGACTAGTATTATCACCCTTTTCTTCAACAACTATACCAAGGGGATTCACGAAACAGTGATGTAGATCGGATGATTGGCGCTCATTTCTGATACCCACTAAAGCTTAACAATTATACAATAAATAATCTTCAAGATATTTTGTATAAACAAATTATTATACTTAAAAACTGTTAGTAGTATGAAACATTTTGAGGGTATTTCCGTAAATAATGATTTTATTTTTGTTAGACATGATTATTGATGGAGCCTCAGGATTACGCTCGTCTTCATCTCAGGAAAGTTTCTTCGAAAAACATAAGTTCACAAAAAAAGGATTGACTGCAATACTACAAGACAAAATACTTACCAACATCACTTTAATCACATGCAAAATAAAACATGGATGCTAATTATTGTTTTCCAAAATCATGGTTTAAATTACTTTTCCGGATGTTTTTGAGTTAGAGATTGTTGCTTGGTGCTTTGTTTCAGAGAATTTTTGTTGGGTGATAAGCTTTTCAAAGTGCAGCGCTAAAGTATTTAGGCAGTATTCTACGTAACAGTAAATGTCAAGTAATATTTGTAATAGATAAGAAATCATGACATAATACTAGACCATCATTAATAATACATACATGTTATTCAGCAAAATCGTAATCCACTCTCAAAATGTTTGAACTATTAGCATTCTAAACTCATTGAGATCCGTAATACTATGCAGTGATAGATAGTCAACTTAATCATTTAAAAATTAATTTCCAGCTTCACTGCACACATAACAATTTGTAAAATCTTATTTGATATTAACTCATTTAGTTTTCATTCCAACAAAAATACTTACCTTGAATTGAATAACGAATAAATGGATTATGTATGAGGCTAAATGCGATAATCTGTTTTAAAGATTTCACCGGAATTTGAGTAGATGATTTTGAATAAAGAAACTTATTAAGTCGTTCTAAATCTCTATCTTCTGTTGCTAAAGCTTCCAGCATTTCAATCGATTCACTAACTCGTTTTTTAACCTGTAATACGAGAATAAATATAATGTATTTTTTAAATAATTGTATTAGTTATATTTTAAAAAAACTATTAATTCGACAAAAAAATACTTAATAATTCATTAAATTCATTTAAATAAATCTTTCTAAGAATTAGCGAGTAATTTTACTATTCAACACATAATAACAAATGTCTATTTCGTACTGTTTGAAAATTATTTAACTTGAAGAAACAATAATGATTTTAGTGAATTCATTTACCTTTTAAATGTCTGATACAAATCTAGTAACAAATATACAGATCTATACATGGTTTGTAGTTACTTAAGATAAAATTAAAATAATATGATTGAAACTTCCGGAAGTTATTTTAAACATGGTCGTAATAAATCATACACATTTTTGTGCCTGTTTTTGGCCAACACTTCTTGATTGTATGTTATATTTGAATTTGTTTCGTTACGATATTAAGCTTAAAGTTAGTCCAATTCAGTAATTTATTCTTTCTATAAGACACAAACACTAAGTCATGAATAATGTCAGAAATCCGATGTTCTACACAGCAGATTGTTACGATTATATCATTATTCCGTTTTTATAATTTGTGATTATTTTAATCAGCTTTTCTTATAGACCTTCTTATAAGATGTTCACTAGGAAATATTCTCAGAATTAAGAACTAACAGTTTACGACTCGGTATTCATTAAAATACGAAATTACTAAGGTTAATGCCTAGCTAAACGTTTATACTAATAAATAACTTTCTATATTATGAACAAGACATTCGGTAAAGAGATCTATATTTCTATTGATTTCTTAATTCAAATTAATAATCTACATTAAAATAGGTGAATTATTATTGTATCTAAAATGATTTCAGGTAATAATTAACTTTCATTGTTAAAAAAAATCCATCATAATCATTTTAAATTACTTTACATGTAATATATTTCTTCAGGTGATAATCTAATTGGTATGAACCCTATCAAACTGGACTAAAGTTTTTTATTAAGTTTTATCAAGTTCACAGAGAAAGTGTATCATTGTTGATTCACTAAACACTGCAGTTCCGTATGTGTTACATCTTTGATAGAAATATATTAATGGAAGATGTTAATTTAATGTTTACTTTCTGACCTAATTTCGTATCACATATCATAAATAATGATAAATAAGCGTGATAAAAAGAGAGAAATGAAGGGATTAATTAGCAAAGAGAAAAAGAGTGAAAATAAAATATAATAAAGAAGCTCTGAGAAGAGTAACATTCATGCAACATGAAAAATAGATTTTTTTTGATTTCACGTAAATGAAAACATAATCAAAATATTGTCGTTTCAAAAGCATAGCTGGTATTATACAGGTTGTTATATACAGATATTTAATATAAGTTTGTTTGTCATCAGTCCAATAATTTACTAAATGAAAATTGGACATGTTAAGACTTGATATTTTAAACAAATTATTGTTTACCTTTCATTTTACAATTTAAATATAAATTTATCTGTTTATGCAATATTATTTCATTTGTGTGAAGAACTGAACAAGCATTTCTGCTGCTAGTTATTATTGTGACATTAATCAATAATGTTCCAACAAATCTCTTTACCTTTTAAAATTTGAAGTGTTATATATTAATCGCATTGAAGTTGATTGGAATACTGGAACATCGGAGCGTTATTTACATCCAGTCGCTGAGAACGTTGCAACTAAGACTTTCTTTCTAAACATGTATGTGATCAGCAATACTCAGTCCGTTGGTTGCAAATTTAATAAATCCCAATCAGGTATTTATATATTATTGAATGAAGTAAAATCTACTGTGAGACAATGTGTTTTGTCATCAGATTAGTAATTGTTTATAAGCTAGGTAAATACAAATTATTATACCGAACTCAGTTAGCAGAGTTCTGTTTCAACTTATTACACACACAAACGTTGCCTGTTACAACTCAGTGAATTTGCTGTATACTGAAAGAACTTTCACGTTATTTCACTCTTTAGCATATTTCGAAAATTCATTATTAAACCGTTCATAAGTAACTGTAATAAATTTAATTTGCTTCCATTTAGAATCCATCATGTGAGTTACTCACAGTTAGTAAACATGGTCAAATTACTAAAATCCTCATTCAGATATTTGTCTAAACATGTAAATAATCATCAGTTATAGTTAGTTTTTAAAAATGCAGTAGTTCTAGTTTGATTTGGGAAGATATGAATTAATACATAAAACTTACAATAAATAAACGTAATAAAAAATTACCTCTAGAAAGGCCTCCATTAGATTAATCTTCACTTCAAGATTTTGTTCTTTGCTGGAATTTATTGAATTTGAAGCAGTCAACTCTTCTAGATAAATTATCAACCATGTTGTATGATATGGCCAATAATGAACAAGTGTAGTCCACAAAATCACCAGTTCGATCTCAATATTCACGTGGTACAGTTTTAGTAAACGATCTAGTTTAAATTTTTTAAAAATAAAATCTTAAGATTTTTCAAGTGCATGGTTATATTTTGAGTTTTCAATAAAAAGAAATATAGGTAAGGACGTCACGCTAATTTTCGTAAATGCTTAATAGAAAGCACGAATTATTATACAGTTGACTAGCGGACGGCTGACTTAAGGGTGCATTGAAATAGAAATCAATATCATGCACTTTATCATCTAAAGCGCCCAGTGTAACTTGCTAGTCTAGGTTCTAAATGTGTTATTTCGATATTTACGCTAAATCACCAGAATTCTAGAACTATGCAGACTTGGTTTTTAAAAGCTGAGCGCATTTTTATATAAGAGTAAAATCATTTGACTTAGAACATGACATAACCGCTTTATTTCTTAAAAATTATATTTTGCAGTAAAGTGTTCTGGATTTATTTTTGATTTTAGCATAAAAAATAAAATTCATACGATATTCAAATAATTCTTATCTTAAGTGTACTAATGTTCTAAAGTGTTTATTTATTCATTTTATTTTGAAAACATATCTATGAATTGTACACTCAAAACGCCGCAATTCTCTAGAACAATAATATTATTATCTTCTCCCTCATGAAGATATATCATAATAATTTCATCATTATTTTTCTTGTTAGTTTGAATATTAAAGTCATACATATAGAAACTTTACTATTCGATACATTTTAACATACAATATTTACTTTGTTATCTGAAAGTTGATAACGGCATAGAAAAAGATTATTTTATTTTTAAACGAAACGATTATGTTTAAATATGAAAAAAATTGTAAATATAATATATATTGTTAAATAAATATTGTTTTGTAGGAGAGAATGATTTTTATAATTTAAACGATACATTTTGTTGAAATATTGTAGCTATTTTCGGCTGTGAAATGAAAATATTTATTGAATAATAATAATAATAATAATAATAATAATAATAATAATAATGTAACTAGTATGATGTTTTGTAGTGAGTTTTAAGATTAGTGCATTACAAATTGTTCATACACCTTGTTTATCAGTATCTTTTTGATGATATGAGAATGTAATAAAAGGCTTACTATGGTCACTTTACTATAGTAAGTGTTTTGTGGTAACATTCATTTAGAAATTTTGAATTGCAGCTGTAGTTTAAGATTTTTAAATTTTGGGAAATCTTACACAGCCGGTCTTAGAGGTATTGACGTTAAATGTGAGACGAGACATATACAAAATAATATTTAGGAGTAACTTCGTTAGACCAAAGTATCTCATGATTGAAATCATGAATCAATCATTGTTAGACTACCATTAGAAATCTGAAAGCCTTAGTATAGGACTACTTAGCATTGCGCATCCACGACCTTCGCTCGCGTAAATAGTACCTAGGACCTTTGACCTCGCACGCGAACGCTTAACGTCTAAACCATTGAGCCGGTATCCAACGATGCTAATGTCTTGCTTTGATCAATCTAAGAATTTTCGAGTGACCTCATCCACTGCATACAATTGACAGGGTTGAACTCCACTGGTCACGGCTACTCATTAGAACTCCGAGAATTTCCGTGCAATGCTTGTCACTAGTGAGCACATTGTGACCAGTGGAATTCAGCCCTGTTGGGTTTAGGTTGTAACTATAGAAAATAATGTGTGAGGTTGCGCAAGACCTTAGATTAATCAAAGTTGGTCTTTAAAACTGTCAGATTCCGGCTTCGTGATCCAGAGGTTAAATGTTCACGCGTGGATTCATGCAGCTGAAGAGTTTCTTATGGTGGCATAACAAATAATGAATTATGATCACAATGAAAAACAACAATCTCCAAACTCTATAATGAAAGGTATCTTGAAATGTACTAGTTTATGCTGTGATCAGGACAGTCGATCAACTGAATGTATTTAAAACCAGATACAACTTATACTTTATTCCAAATTTACGGTAAAATATTAAAAGTTAAACTGATTAAACAATAAATGAATAGTCTTTATAAACTATACCCATAAACTTACATGTAAATGCTGTAGACAACACCATCTGTTTAACTACTTTTCCATTCCAATCAGATAGATCATGGTTATGTAAAAACATACTCGCGATATCATTTACACTGATAAGCTCATGTACTTCTGTGACTTCATCTTTAATTTGTTCTTTTTCAGTATTTATTGGGGTTATTTTGGAATTATTTTGGTCAATCATGTTTGTTCCGTAAAAATTGTTAAACATAGCTCTTGGGACATAACTTGAATTATAATTCGGATTGCATGACTAAAAGCGAAAAGATATGTCAAACAATACAGAGCTCGGTAGTACAAATTGATTCATTTACAATATTCTATTAAGAAATATAAATATATAACAACTATAATTATTTAGAAGTAAATCAATTATAAAATTACCTCTTGACAATAATTTATCATAAAAAAATAAAAGATGTAATTTAACACTAATTGTAACATTAAATGAGATAAAAATAAATTGTAATTCATTGTATCAATAATTTTTAAAATGAATACCATTGATCAATAATCTCATTTATATTCAATGTTTCTTTAAACCGAAGAATAAGTACCTAATTATCTAATGTATGCTTTCATTGAATCATTATTTCTAATAAGTTAGTTAAATTTATTTTTCAAAATCAAATAGATATGTTAAGTAAAATTTAGATAAACGTTGGAATAATTCCATATTTATTGTCATCATATAATTGAGAATCGTTTTGAGAATTCATGTGTTATTTAGGAAATACTTTCTGAATATAACTAAACATCTCAGAAACACCAAATTTAAATAACTGAATCATTCACTTATACTGTACTGCATTATCTTAATTACCTAGAGAGTTTTATGACTGTCCGTTCGCATCTAACATTAGTTCCCTTCGACCAGTTCAATCATATCAGTATGATGACATCAACTTATAGCCTAAAATCATTCGTATATTATAAGAAAAAAAAGTTTATGCATACATAGCAAAATGAGGAAAGTCAATGTTTGTTTGTTTATTCAATCTGTATAAATATGTATAATTAACAAGGTCAAAATAAAGTAAAATGTATGTATTTATCTACAGTATTATCATAGCAAACTGACTACTTTCATAACATTAATTGTCTAATGAAGTAGTTTCAAGTATCACTTCTTTTAGAAATTTTCAAGAGGTTTGTATAGACATTTTGATAAAAAAAATGGTACTCAAATTTTTTATTTCACAGTAATTGATTGACTAACCATCTGATATTAATTTTATTTTCCGACTAGTTAGTTAGTTAGTTATCTTTACACTTTAACGTTAATAAATTAAAAAGTTGTATCATTTTATGTTTGATTACATTACTGTGAAGAATATAAAATTATTTTTTGTAGTTGTTTCCGATGTCACTAATAAAAATTTGCAGTCAATTATGGCACAAAGCATAAAATTAATTATAATCATTATAAATTAAACATTAGTTTTGCCAATATCTTAATAATTGATAATCAATCATTAGTTACTTTCAAATTACAAGCTTATTCTAAAAATAATCCAGTTTTTTTCTTTTTTTTATTGAGCAGTTATCTATAACTACAGTTTCAATCATTCGCTATTGTTTTTTTAAGTATTAGAATTCTTGTAACTTGTGTTATCAAGATTTTAACATTTGTGATTGAAACATTTCATGAAAAAAGATGACCGTCACTATGTAGTTATGTGGATTGTTGAGTCTCTTTGAAATAATCAACTGGTCGGTTGAAAATAGGTTAAGCGTTTGAGTGCGAGAACGAAGGCCCTGGGTTCGAACCCCCCCAAGCAGGGTGGCAGGTGCGCTCTACTGAGGAGTCGCGTACTAAAACATTCAGTGCTTCCTGATTCCTAGAGGAGATCAAACATCAATCCATTCATGACTTCAATAAAAAGCTATTATGTATCAATTAGTTTGTTAAGAAATAAAACGCTGTACAGCATGTTCTAATATTTATTTGTTTATGCCCTTGTATATATATAAAGCTTTTCTGCTGAAATCAGAATATAAGTAAACATTCAGTTAAGAACTCATTCAAAATAACTAACCGTATCCGTTGAATTAACTTTGATACCACGATAAACAGTGAACGAATGTTTTCGTCGAGGATCGAAAAGATACAGAATACCTTCTCGTTTCTCAGCAATGAGAAAGAACTTAGAGCCTGATGAATTTACAAAAGATATATTCGATAGAATCATTGAAAGGATTTTCTCCTCAACAATATGTTTTAGATTTATACCTAATTCAGTAAGAGCTTTTGTCGAAACAACAAAGTATCAATTAATAAACATAACATTTTATTCGATAAAATGGTTCGTTGTTATTTTTTGTAGTCATGAACTATGAACAATGAAAATTCCCATTGTTTTGCTTAAAATCAAATACAATAACTAATGTTAATGAATAGTGCAAAACATTTCATAGTTTATTATTTTTCTTGTAAGACGAATTATACAACGTTTTTCAAATGAAATAAATTTAGTCAATCAAATGGCTAAACTGAATTATTAGAAATAATATTAAAAAAAGTATCATCGTTTACATAAGCGTAAATGTGATTTGTAGACAACGCTTAATGATAAAAAAGAAAGTTATATTTTAGTTAATAAATACTGATTGTTAAAATACTTCCTTTAAATGGATCATTTCCATGTAATCGTTTGCTTCTTGACTATTTTTTTTTCAGTACCTGTTATGAAGTAGAACAATATTTATTTCTTTCCAAAACTCAGGAAATCATTTTCTTTATAAAATCATCATAAAGTGTTATGTGCACTACTTTTTTCTCAGCTATACATAAGACACTTTGCGTGCTTCTTAATGAGAGAAAATGGTTAATTCTTTTATCAAGAAAAATGTTTTCGGATTTAAAAATAAAAATAATAATAAAAATTTGCTAAATGCTAGCGTGATTGATATTTCACAGGGAAAAACAAAATTGTATAGTATTGACTGATTAATACAAAGATTTTTATGTTTACTCCTTGTTTCAGTTTACAAAAGATGGCAAAAGAATTGACTATGATGTAAATCTCTTAACTTACTACTTTTCTTGTTGATATATTGACAGTTGATATTTCTGCTGTCGGCATTGTATTGGATTGTAATGTAGCTATCGCAGGTGAGTAACCATTCAATGATGAACCTAAGAGCTGATTATGTTTTGTTTGTTCATCATGTGGTTTTGTCGTTTCAGGGGAATCATAAAAAATTGGCGGTTCTAAATATAATGGTAAATGTAAGTTAGCATGCACTAAATGAACATTATCACCAACTATTTGTGCAATCAGCTTTGGTTCTTGTGTGAAACTATTACAAAAGGTTGTATTACATGGCGATAAAATTGTACTGCATACTAGATCACCTAAAAGTATCTGAAATCAAAAACGAAAAATAGATTCACATTTTTTTACTAAGCAACAATTTATTCACTAATAGATCTTATGATAAAGTTGACAACAGTTTGTGAATTAAAGTGTTTTCATTGTTACAAATTCAGTGCAGTGATTAGAATTACAATCATTTTTATTGAATTTTATATGAATCTATTCCACTAACTTGAAATGACTTTATTATTATTATTATTATTCTTTTTCTTATTATTATTATTATTATTATTATTGATCGTCACCTTCGATCGATTCCTACTCTCGTTTATCTACTTGATAAAACACAGCACTTAGCTTCAACTTGTAGTTATTGGTTTAACCTTCAGCCACTGATATATTTATTTCGAGTTGATGATTGATTCTCTTCGAAAATGCTCTCTAACATTACAAAACTTATTACATGAAGCAATAACATTTTGTTATTATTTGACGACAAAATTTTCCTGTATTCAATCATTTATTCTCTTGAATTTTTATTGTTTAAACTGCTTCGAAACAAATCCGTTTCATTATTCGTACAAAGGAATATTCAGATTTGTGACAACTAGTTCATAGAATGTAACGAGGTTATGAATGTAACAGTTCATTACATTTATCCAGTATTACAGCATGACTTACAATATCAGAAAAGTAAACTTTTCAACTTTCTCATACTTCTCAGATAAAGGATATAATTTACTTATACAAGAACATTTATCTGCCACTTAGAATACTACTACTACCACTACTATTACAGTTACTACTAAAATAAGAGCATTTTTAAAAAAGAAAGAAAGAACTATTTGGCAGACAATTTTTAAACATTTGATAAATCACATAGTTAATCAAACCTGACAGTCAGTTTATTTAGATCGGTCTAATCAATTTTCTCTTATTTCTTAACGCATAACAATATAATTATTATTATTTTATCTAAATAATCTTTAATGTTTTTTTAATGCTGAATAGGAGTATAATCCCTACCATTTTTGTTATGATTGTTACCTCCATGAACATCTTTATCACCTAAGTTTATGAGAGGTCAAGTAAAATAATCATTTCGTCTGAGTATCCAATTGCAGAAACACATACTAACAATTTTATGTCTATCCATAGGATAGTCACTACCCTCGGAAATCAATGGAAATAGTTAAAAACTCCTGTATCTAGTTAACTAAACAGATAAAATAGGTCAGATAGAAACAAAAAATACCCGGAGCAGAATTAAACAGCATTAACACACACACACAAACAGATTATAACTATTAGGCATTTCTATGTAACCCTGAGTTAACTCACTTTGGCAGTATAATTATCAATGAAACAAAAGTGGATGAATCAACTTGATTAAATTTGACTGACTGAAACTAGATATTTATTTATTTTCATCATTAAAGGAGACTGGAGAAAACAACTGAGATATAAATTGAAGTAATGATTATATATGAAAGGTAATATGATTGATATTTGAGTTCATAATTATAAACTGGAAGACTACCAGGTAGATTTTTTTTGAAATTGATGTTAAGTGAGTTATCTGTTAGCTACACTTCATTTTGCATTACTCTCAGATTTATGAACAAATAGGAACATTGATGAAGCAGTACAAGTCTATACATATATAACTGATTTCATAATATCTTCGGTTGAATCTAAAGACAATGTGTCTATTAAGACCCTTGTTTCATCTGAGATTTGACGCTAAATAAACCATTAGTGGGGGTTAGTTGATTGATAAAAAGTCGACCGACTTACTAACAATTTTCACCATAGTAGTTTACATGGTGTGACAACAGTAATGCTTTTCCCATCTCTGTATGTGTGATCTTAAATGAGCATAACGTTTTCAAGTCATCTATCAATTCATTATTGCAGGTGTAGATAGATATAGTGTATTTGTAATGTTAAGTGTTAATGAGTGTCGTAATATATCTCGTTGTAATAAGGTGAATTTAAATGCCATCAGTGTCGAATAACAGTTGCGTTTACAAACTCAAATTTATTTCAACGATATTTATAGGGTACAGTAGATTTTTAGAACATACTGACATTTATATCATGATGACTAGTGGGACATCTGATCTATGAATTATATTTTTGCATTATTCACCGTCTAAAACATTGTTTGTCTGTTTTTAGAACATTCATATAATTCAAAGAACTGACTACTAGACGAATTTTAGCATAGAAAATCAGTTAATTTTTTCTTATCTGACAAGTTTGAGCGTTTTTAGTCGCCTTTGCCGAACGTTAATTCTTTTCACTAGATGCTAATCAGTCAGATAAATTAATATGAATATTTGAATGTACAAGATCATGCATTTTATTACACTTGGAAGCCTGTCATTGTCATCACAAAGTCTAAATGTACAACGTGTTTCCTTTATCTTAACTTAGTGTAAAAGGAACTGAAATGATTTAAAATGCGTTTAATACATTAGTCACTAAATTAATTATTATCGTTCTCAGCTCAAGCTTATTATGTTTCATTATATATCTTGTGTATACAAAGTAGAATAGTGTGGAAGTTTAATGGCACATGTATTAAGATAATACATATCTACTGTCATATTTTAGACATTAATGGCATATACAGAATAATAAATAATCAATAACAAAATGTTATTCGCATAGCGTTATAATGTGTTTTATTTGAAGGTATCATGATGAACTTCAAAAAGTTATCCTTAATTTTAAAATATTAAACATTTCCATTGTAATTTATCTGAACAGCGCTTATTAGCGAACAATATTGTTTTCTGTTAGATCACCATCAAGCTTTACTCTAATATACACCAATGGTTATTTTAAAATATTCAATAAATAATCGAAATGAAAATAAATTATGTAACTACACGTAAGTAGATAATAGGAAGACAGGTGTGCTGTTGGTAGTGAGAAAAATAAAATACGATCACAAAAGTTTTTGTCAATAGTTCAGCATTGGAAGTAATAGGTCAAACTTGGATAAATAGTTTCATTGTAATTATGAATTTAACGGATAATTATGGATAACAAGACTTAAAATAACAATCACAAATCTGTAGTAGAATTATGAAATACGAAGAGTGTGAAAGATGAAGAATGTAACCGGAAAGAGGGGGGAAAGACGAATACCGGATGTGAAAAAAATACTACTACTAATAATAAAATTAAGCATTAAAATAGTTTATTCAGCCATATCTATCCAAAGAAGGGACAGGAGTGTCACGAATTTCTTCTGAACGTATAAATTAGGATTGAATTTTCGGATTCCTGTGACTTCTGGTATGTGCATGAGACGCGATCAAACTCCGCTGGGAAATGGAGGTATAAGATGGACTGCTCAAAAAGTTTGCTTTTTATCTATATTATGACCTCTGACAATCAGGTGTGCCAAGATAGATCTACGTATGGTTTTTCTCTGTCCCCTTCCAAACAACACTGGAGGACGTTCAGTTACTCGTTGGTTCAGTGCGCCCAATATGGCTATCTTCACAGGAGTAGCAGAATTAGTAATCGCACATTCAAGAAGCCAATTCATGTAACTTATCCTTCATTTAAGTAGACATCACTGGTTGATTACAGCATGTCAACGTAAGACTGGTGACGTAAAAATGTCCTACTAATTTCCTTAGCTAGTCTTTCATGAAGTACATTGCTAGCCGCATATTTGTTGAATGGTAGTAAAAAGAATAGTGTTTTCTTTCGAATTATCACACTCTCTGACTTGTTTTTCATTGCATAAACGTACTTCTTTGCGAATGCACTAGTTTTAACCATTATGCATTTTTATTAATTTCAAATGTATAGCGCAATTGTATTTCTAAGAATAAACCAAGTACAATGATAATAATAGTTTTGGTTAGGGTTACACTTAAGTAATAACGCTACATTTTATTCTCCAACCAGCTATATTATATTAACTCTTTTTCTATTCAAGTTAACAAATACTAACTCACTCAGATTAATAATTATTAAAGTTTAAAACTTAGTCAAACTACAAAATCCATTAATGAGTAATTTTAAAATTTGAAAAAAAATAAAAGTTGTACACAATTAATGAATCAGCAGGTTTTTTTTCTCTTCTGGTAATTGCATTTTCTATCAAAACATGAAATGATTGATTAAGTTTTAAATTTATATTAAAAAGGATAGTGGAGAAATTTTGTTCAGCTTATATTGTATTGTATTTCATAAAAAAAATAATAAAAAAATAATAAATATGAATCAAATTTCATACGAAAATGTATGAAAAAAAATTATTTCAATTTAGTTGTGATATGCCATTAGGTTTATCGACAGAATGAAGAGTTTAATAATCACATAATATTTAATTGGATTTATTTTTTATTATTGATATATATGTATGTGAAACATTTTTTTTCCTCTGCTCAATTTAAACTTTCAGGTTACTAATCGATATGAGAGAGTTAAAACAGGAAAATATTATGATAATCATAATTATTATTATCGTCATCGTCATCTTCATCGTTGTTATCATTAAATTAGTTACAGTTTGAATAGAATGAAAGTAAAACAATTTCATTAATTGTTTTGCAAAAACAGATAAAAATAATTCTTCCTGAAATGAATCATTTTTAATTGAGAGAAAGAAAAAAAGGTCATTTGAAGTGACAAATGTGAATACAACTGTAGGTAAAAATTTAATTTCAAATTCCAATCTGTTTTTTTTTTCTTTTGTATCTCTGTGTGTTGAATAAAATTTTCGATAAATAAAGGAGAACACATTGATTCTTTGGGAAAAAATCAATGTGAACAGAACAAAGAACAAACCTAGACAGCTATTTTAACTAAAGAATAAATAACAGTTTTATAAGTTTTAATTAAAACGCGTTTATTTCAATGTGTCGTTTTGATATGAACTTTAATGAAATCGTTAAGCTATGACATTGATCAAATGTCAGTGTGATGATTAATAAAGCTGTTATGGTGTTTTACAACTTATGTGCAAATATTATTCAGTTAGGAGTTGGGATTTATTGAGAGAACTCAAAATAATTCTTAGCTACAAGCCTTAGACGAAGCATATTAAAGGGCTCTGGAACAAACTAGCACCAACGGACTGGCTTGACATCGAATCAGAACCAAAGGTGTTCCCGACAATTGAAGAACTGAGCAAGACTGTTAAGGCACTAAAAGTAGACACGGAAGTAGTTGCAAAGATACTCCACATTCTGTTCAGCAAGATTTGGGATGTAGAACAAATACTAACTGACCGTAAAGAAGGATACTTCACTAAGATAACAAAGAAAGGACCTCTCAGCAGGTATGATGATTAGCTCATCAAACTACATCTCAGACCAAGCCCTAATTTAGAATCTTCGAGGTAAAGGGAGAACAGGCAGATCAGAGAACTCCTTGAGACTGGAATCGTAGGTACAGTTCAGAATACTGAATAACAGTTATGAAAAACTAGAAAGGGCAATAGAAGACAGAGTTGGTTAGACATTCCTGGTTGACAGCCTGTGCCTTATGGAGTTTAACAGACACTCATAGCAAAAGTAATTTCGAATAAATGGTGGAAAATGAAGCTCAGCCTATTTAGTTAGGCTTGACTTATGGCTCCACTATATATTGTTTAACAAATGAGCATCCCGTCATGTTTCATATCGTCTACTCTTTATGCATAACTTTGTCTTCGCAGTCGTTTATAAGAGTCTTTCAGTCTTGGTATGTATAATTGTTTATTTATTATCGTACAGTATATCAGGATTATCTTGTAAGGATCATCAGCGTTTCATTATTTAAGTTGTAACTGAAGTCCTCAGTGTAAGTTGCTGACAATTTATTGTGGGATAACTTTTTCGATTTGATTATTCACCAGCTTTTTCCAGCTCAATCATGCTCGCCGATTTCTGCTTGTATAAACTCATGAACACGAAGCCTAAGTTCAACTAGTGCAGTCAGTTAATTTATAAAAACCTCAAAAAGCTGAACTATCACTTAGCTGATCAATTATCATCGTTCTTAACTTATTTGAATATTTAATATTTTGTAAGATGGACTTCTGCAATTCATTATCTCTGGATGTATGAAGTGTAATGTAGACTGTTGGAAATGCATTTTCTATTCATTCACTTTTTTACTAATCAAATTTAAATATTTATATACTCTGCCAATATAGTGATACAGAGAACAAAGTCATTTTATCCTACAGTTACGATTATATTGGTAAACGATTGTACATAAGTCACTTTTGATATTATTTTATAAGTTAATAAATTATAATTTCCTAGGAAATATAAATAGCCGTAAGCTCAGTTGTTACAATCCATTCAACTTAACAAAGTTATGTCATCACAATGTTTCATCAAAAAGAAAAAAAATAATTTTAAAACTGCTTTCGGCATTATAAAAGTGTAAGATAAACAGATATAATTGAAGACTTACTCTAAAATTTGCCTCCAGTACAACAGCAACTGGTGCATTCATATCAGATAATATTAAATTATGTATTTGATAAATTAATTTTGCTAGTAAATCTTTTTGTAATGTACTACTAGCGTCTAAGCATAAAATGAATCGAGTTTGTTGCGTATTAGTAAACCGATCAAATGTAACAGATAAATTACAAATTTTAGCAAATTCTGATTTGATAAATAAATCTGCTCTACATGCTCTTTGTTCTTCAGCTGTTATAGCTAAATCTTTAAATGATGTTGAACTGGAAAGAAGAGCAGCTTCATTGATTTTTCCAACAGATTTTGAGCTAAAATATTCATTATCCATTTCATTGTTAGTTCGTAGAAATGCTGTTAATGCAGTTTTCACAGGTTTAATTGGATTAATCAATAAACCTTTCACTATTCGTAATAACGATGGTAATGATCCAAAAAAGCTAAGAAACATTATTGAACTCATAATTACAAACAAAGGTAGTAGTCCACCATGTCTAAGTAATTTAGCTAATTGACCTGAGTATAAACGCATGATACTAGTAGAAATAAGAAATGAAATCCAAAAGGCTATCATTACAACAAATGCAGGTAAACAGCAAACACGTTTATATTTACTAGTTGAACTTCCTGTTTCAGTTTAAAAAAAAGTAAAAGAGAAAAATAGAGAGCAATATCAACTAGACAAACTAATTTAATAAAATACTGTCTGCATCGTTATTCATAAAGTTTATAGTTTGTGTAACATTTATTATGAATATTAGCACTTTGTAAATAATCTCATTTCTGACAAAAATTTAATATATGTTGTTATGTAAAACAGATCACTGACCATAAGATCATAATAAGGTAATACATGTATGTGTTTACTATAATTTATGGAACGACTTAAAAAAGATTCGGGATTCTTAAATAGACAATCAGTCAGAACTTGGTAGTTGATTACAGGAACAACATTCAGAAAATAATACCAGTTATTCAAACAATTAATAGAGAGGAGATAATCCTTATTCAGTAGGCTAAATCAAGACATGAGAACTCGCTTCTGGATACAGATCACGCTTCCACAATTCATTTCACACTTCCTTTGTCAAGTAAAACAGAGATGTTCTTGTCAAAGATGTGACATAAAATCAGTGAAGCCTGGTTTGCTTTGTTGTAATGCTCACAGTTTTTCATTGTGAAAATTCACTTTTTCCTACTAAGGTACAATGCAATATATTTAGGAACACAGATCAACTCTGATTCAGTGAAACAAAACTGTTTGATTTCTTATGCTATTTTCCACAAATCCAAATAACATTACTGTAATCTGAATTCTACTTACACCACAGCCAAAGCTTATGATATAAATATACACATTTCGTTTCACTTTACTAATATTCAGTATTGTGTATCATACGGATATTTGACTGCTTGTGCCAAATAGTTTGAGCGCTTAGTTTTGTATAATGTTCAAAATAAAATTGAGTCAGTTCAACAAATTCCTGTTCAAGTGCTTATAAAAACTGACTATTCGTTAATTAACTTAGTATATTTGATAGTTTTATTGTTTATGTTAATAAGCATTTTTATTTTAGTAATTTCTGAAATGTTATACTGTGTCAAATCGTGCTGTACTCATAAAATTCGAAGAACTTTACTTGAGAAGAATCAATACTAGTTTTGCTTACTTAGTTTAACCGGTACTTTGCTAATCATTCAATAAAAACGAGTCCGATCGGATACTTACCCGAGGGTTTTCCAGCCCTCTGAAGTCTGATTAAAATTTGTCCATAATGTCGAACCAAACCAAACCACATTTTTTCAACCAATGAAAATAATGCCATATTTGTTGTTGAGGAAGGGCATATCCGATGATATACAATAATAATTCTATTATAAAGCATGTAAAGAAAATCAGTTACTTAAAATATAGACCATACAAATGTAATAAAATAACTTGGAGATAGATCTGAATAGTTTTAGTTGTACTTTGTTGATCAGTTAGTTATATAAAGTGATCTTTACAATAGACGGTTGAATATAAAGCCTTTGAATGAGATTTGTGCAACATGCCATTCGACAGTAAAAGATATTTACAATCTCATTGATTCCAACTAGCATAACCTTACCAAACCCATAAGCTATACATTTTTCACCTATGATGATAGTGGTCATATGGTCACATGGTCACATCTTCAGTTTTTTATAATCAATTATAAATACACTATAAACTTAATTTAATCACAAGGCTCAATGAATATAATGAGAGATTCCAAGTGGACCACCACAGCCGTGTCTTTTAATCCAGGTTACCCATCTTTTGGTGTAAGTAAAGGTAAGTGCGCCGGAACTCATCTATTAAGCATTAAATCTGGTGAAAAATATGTCTGGATAGCAATTTTAGTAAAAACGTTTGTGAAGATATCTAATGACTGTTCGTAAGTTCAACGGATGTATGTTGGAAATTTGTCATAAAAATGTGCAAAGTTATTGGGAATAATATGCCGTCATCAGTCGAATGTATTTACTATTTTTGAAATCATATTATATATATATATATATATATATATATATATATATATATATATACGCTTATTTGAAAATATTATTCGGTAGTCAACTAGACTTCTTCTGCTCTTGCCTTCTCACTCAAAAATCGAATTGGAGTGGTCAGTACTCATTGCAATCAGAATTCAGACGTCGCACATCATAACGAATTCCATAGACAGAACACCTACTTTTTATGGACTGATTATCTAAAAGAACAACTAGCATTCTATCATCTTGAGTCATTGGTTATTTTTCTGAACCAAAGTTTGTCAGCGATTACTCTCTGCACAGTTATGACAATATCTTATTGCTTGAAAGTTGAATGATCTTTACAAATAATATTTGACTTTCTTTAATTCCAGTGACAAATCTATAAGAAATCTTGTCGCATTTATCTCAAAAATTATTGAATCACAATTTTTTTTGGATAGAATTAATGATGATTAAAAAAGACATTTTGTTATGAACAACTTTTGATCGATTAAACAACGAATTATGTTATCCAAAATGAAAGTCTACTCAAGTTAATTATAAAGACTAACAACCAAAGAAAAAAAAGAAAATAAAATAGTTAAAGAAAGTTTAGATTTTGATGAATAACAGAAGAGAATTTTTTAAGTTAGTAAAATCAAAATTCACTTCATAATTAATGCTGCTTTATTAGTTTTGATTTTTCTCAAGAGATTTGATACTTGCAAATAATTTGCTTTACCAATAATCATTTAAATCCTTTTCTGACAGTTTAAATTTTATAGGTAAGTGTTTTTTTTTCTGTTTAAATGACGTGATTTAACCATTTTGAGAAATTGTAATTCATTTTGAAATAATAAACACTAACACTTGTTCAACTTTGAAAACATATTTTTAAAAATGATTTTCTTTGGCTTTTCCTAATCCAAAGATCATATTGTTTAGTTGGGAATTCGTAGGCAATTTTATTTGCATTTTGTCATACACTATCATTATGAAATAATCACATTGGATTTTATTTATAATCTTCAGTTAGAAGAAATAATAAATCTGTTTGATTGATTTGTAATAGATGTACATATATTATTAACTGGAAAATTCATGAATGCATACAGTTAGATCAGTAGATTTTAATGATGAATGGATCATTCATTTATTTTATCCAATAGCTCAAGAACAGTATTAATGCATAGGCATATAAGAAATACAAAATGGTCTGACAGGAATAGCTACTAACCGAAATGATTTTTATCTATTTGGAATATTTTATGGATGTTTTTATTGAAATAAAGAGTCAGGTATAGTTATTTTAAGGAATTTACATTTCAACAAGATTTACTAATACTTCATGTCTTTACTTAGTGACCATTCTCTCATTCCAATGCTTCACTGTATATGGGATATTAGATAATTTACCCAGCAGACTAGATACAGCAAGTTCTATTTATCTTTTTGGAAGACTTTACTAGCTGTTTAGTCAGTATTGAGACTTTATGCATTAAAATTTGGTCAGTTTTGAATATTACCAACAAGTTTAAAGGATTAAGGTCAAATAAAAGAATTTTCAAAAATTGCAAATGTATTCATTTTCTTACTTGACTGGCGATTTAGTATTCACTGACTTGATAGGATAACAAAAGCAGACATTTAAAAAGAGTTTAAGCCATTGAAGAAAGCATGCTATTGAATAACTGGCGCGTATAGCAATCGGTTTTTGACAAAATCGGGATCCCGTTATAATCAATGCTAAAATATTTAAAAGAAGAAGAAATACGATTGTATAAATGCTATTCAGTGAATTTTATCTGAATAGTAAATGTAATCATTGATAAAGTTTCTCATTATATATGGCATGAAAAAAACTAATTTGTATTTATACTCGCATCGTCACTCCTGTTTATGAGCTGTTGGTAACAGTTTCATTTCGTTTCAAGAAAAGTTATTGTTGAACATGAAGGACCTGAATTCAGTTCTTAAATTAAAATAGCTGATTCGCATTATTTGTATAAAGTTAAATAAACCTGAACCAATTGGAAAATTCTTGATAAACCCCGAAATTACTTCTACCGATGTCAATTATGTCATTAATAGAAACATCGAAAAAGAAATAAGAGTTTTTCATTGTCATGACACTTGAAAATAATCAAGATTATTGCACAAATCGAATTGTGGTTCACAATACTAGACAATTACTCTCTTATAGGAACGTTAGGGTTTTTTTTTAAATGATTGATTTATATGATAAAGTAAAAGTATACCATTATTTGTAACACGTTTGATAACACTGATAAATTACAACTAATTACTACTTTCAGCCGACATTATTCTTTAATTTTTTTTTGCTTTTTATATAGAGTCAGGGAGAAAATCAAATAGAAAAAATATTAAGCAAATATATATTAAAGATTAGAAAATTCATTTAATCTCAATGACTTTATTATTAATTTCTCAATCCTATGTCTGACAATCTCGATTAAGTCATGCATTACTGGGTCATAGAATGAACGCATGAGGGAATCTACTGTGAAAGAAAAAGTGAACGATTAGTTTAATTAATCCTTCATCCATTAACTCTTGTATTTAAAAAAAAAAGTAATTTTTTGTTCATTTTGAAACTTTCGTCGAGAAAAAAAACAATAGCTGGATAATAATATATTAGAAAGTGAACTGAATCTATTAGTGAAAATATCATTATTATGAAAGGGATGAATTGTGTCCTGCAACAGCTCTTAATCCTACTTGGGACTCATTAGCTAGATGTAACGGTATCTTAGTGTTGATATTTACACTAGGACAGGGACTCAGTGCCTTTCACTTCAGTTAACTAACTCATTAGTCACTGAGTGCTAAATAGTCACTTACTTGTGGGAAGTATAATTTTTTTCAATGTATTTATAAATTTTCAAGTTATCATTTTGTTAGTATTGTTGACTGAATCCAGGCACTACTGTCAGACACAGTTGACCCACTCCATAAAACTTGTGATTCAATGAATTTATCAAGGGAATCCGCCTAGGATATGCATATTCCAAACTATAATGATCAAAATTAAGTTAACAATATTAGCAACGCGATAACGCAACATGGTTATTTCTCTCATGTTATACACTGATTGATTAAATGGTCAAAAGGACGTTAGTTTCCTTCCGCTAAGTCGTAAAATAAAAAATGATGGTTTACACGTTTTTGAATGATGCATATTTAAAATATTTGAAATATTTTGCTACAGAAGTTATATTCATAAATAACTCAAATCTATTTCAAAAGTTAGTTCGTTTAGTTCCAAACCCATTTATCTGTTCATAAATTGACACAGTTTTTCAAAAGGATGATATATTAAACACTAAAGCAATCAAGTAATTAAGATAGTATTTAATAGTAAAAATGTGTGAAGAAGCATCCAACGAGGATGAAAAATAAAAATATGATAGATGAAAATCACCATAGTACACAAATAATTTAGCAGTGTGATAATTACTTATTGGTTAGATTGACAGAAGGAGTCTTTTGTGCGCTACACAAATAAGGTCAGAATGTTGCATGAATTATGAGCAAATTGGATACACCCGTCTTCTTCTAAGTGAATAAACTATTTGTGTTTTATTTTAGATGATTGCATTAGCTAAGAACCCCACTTCATTTTTGAACATTGGGCTTATCTTACCATAGATTTCCGACTGATTCATTCGTCTACATACGTATGTTGAAGTGATAAATTAGGTTTACATGAATTACAGAAGATTTACAGATAAGTTACCCCTGGAATATGTTAAATCTTGGTCAATTGTAAATATAAAATCAGTTAATTACTCTTCTGCTTCTAAAATAGAATGCATCTAGGAACATATACAATCTGAAAAATATCAAATTATCGTTGATACAACATTATACTTAAATTCTTTTAGTATTAGTATGTTACCTAACTCCTTTTGGAGCCCTTCTTCGGCTACTACCGGTCTCAAGTCCGAGTAAGGTGGAACTCATTTATTTTTGAAACACAGTGTTCCTGCTTTTACGAAAACCAACTTTTACTGTCAACGGATGACGAGCATTACACTAGAAATCGACTCAGGTTAGACATGCAATCTGTTAGATCCGGCCTTAGTCTCTTCAAGATTACAATTTGAAGTTGGATTATCAAAATGTTCAGATGAATACTCATATAGTAGAAGAAAATAACTGCTCACCACTTCCTGACTTACAAAGAATGATCTAACTCAAGTTGACTCAAGATCTTAATTAAATCCTCGAATAATCACTGATGCGGTATGAGAATGTAGTGAAACGGACATATATGTTTCGATGACTAACTAAATTCAATAAGTGATCAGCAATGTTGGGAGCCTTGTTTATGCAAATCATCAAATGTTTCATCTTATTTGAGTATGATATTAGGAAGTGGTAAGACTAGAAACATAGAGGTCATGATTTATATACATTACTAAAAAATAAACTAGAACAACTCTAAAACTACTAATAATGTAAAAACTTTGTTTTGTATTTAAACTATGCAACCAGCGGAACTGCAGCGAAACAAATTTTTATGATGAGTAGATAATTTCAGTATTTCAGTAGTAAAATGAAGTCTCATATTTTACACGATGAGTTGATAATAGATTTCATTGATAATCTTAAGTGAATTGGATACGGCGACGTTTCGTAGTTAGAAGATTTAATTCATTAGATCAGTCTGTAGTTTACGATTTCAAGCTCCACCATCACAATTAGGAAGTAGTGCACTAATAATAATGAATGTCAATAAATGAGTGTCATGCAACAAAGACAGGGATAATTCGAAGAATTCTATTATTGTACACATATAATGGGATAGTGGACTAAGTATTTAAGAAATTGACAAGGTGATTTCTGCAAACCTACTTAACGAGCTTCTTTTATAAACTATGTATGTAAAACTCTGGAAGCATGGGCATCGCTAATCACCTAAAAACTGTAGCCTAAATTAAAGAAAAGTATCAGTTGCGAGCACTCAAATATTAGAATAAAATCAAAATCTTTGTCAATATTACTTGAAACGACTGTAATTATTCTTCTTTATTTTGTTCAGGAGATAAAAAAAGAAATATTTTTCAGGAACTCTGTTAAAGACTAAGTTTTATTAATTTTATCTATTTTTTTCAAAAGAAACTTATCAAGCAAACTAATTTACTTATTTTGTTTTTTTTCTTCTAATCACAGTGAGCGACTACCTTAACTAGTTAAGAATTATGAGTTTAAATTATTTAGACATATTGCATTTAATCAAAGTAATCCATGGCGTCATCGAGCTGAGAGAATAAAGATAAACATTTTATTTTCAACTAAATCACTGACTCATGCTTTACATCGATCTTTAGAATTTCATTATAAACATATACAAATAGGAAGACAGAGATTGGAACATAAGATGGTGCGAAATGATTCAAAAGATAGAGAAGAATAGGGGTTGGAAACAACTTACAGGTCAGAATCGTATAAGCACGTTGTCCACTTGACAGCGAACTTGACAGTTGAGGAAAACGAAAAACTTCAACGTTATAATAACAAATGAATGATAATTTTAACAAGAGGTTATTAGTGACTGATTACGATTTTTGAAGAAAACCGATACTAATAAAAACAAGACTAGAACAAAACAAGTAGAAGGGAATTAGGGCTTCAATTGGCACATCACTGACACCTGAGAAGTGCATATGTTTCGATTCAAATATCGTTTGATTTAGATCTTCTGACTGTATACAATATTGTATACGTGCCCTAAGGTGCTTATGTATTGAACTAGTGGAAGCCGAACCGGTTAATTTCTAAGACGTGTTTGGAAAGTTAACATGTAAGTTATCAATGGAACCTACCTTATAAAAGCAAATAGATTTCTAGATGAACATCATTGTGGTCCAAAGCATAAGTTTATCCATAACACATAATTAATTAGATTAATTTAAGGAATGCAATTTGCAGTGCAGAAGCCTGTTGGCAAAGTACGAAGACCAGACGACAGCACAAAGTATATTTGTTAAATAACTTCAACCAACTTTTCGAAATCATGTAGAACTGCAAGCTGTTCATTTAAAGACAACGTTATATACGGATTTACGGTCATTAAGAACTTTGCAACCGTATTCTATCTAATCAGTATCCTAAAAGACAAAACTGATTCGCTTTCAGGCATACAGATAGCCTCTACATTATGTCCTATCACTTTATCTTTATTGCTATTGAGAAACTTATCACGTGTAATGAATTCACTCATTAAAGTAAACTTCATTATTTCAAACAAAATTATGTGCATCTAAAATCATACAATGATGATTGATTTATCCAGATTTACATCTATTATAAAAGAGGACATCATACTAAAATAAAACATACTCAATGTACATGATTAGACTGACAAAATCAATTGATCAGTAGATTTCTTTTTTGTTTGTTGTTTTTTAAAGTAGAACAATTGTCTATCAGAGTTAGGTTTGAGACAATTTACCCAGAAGATTCATTCACTTTTGTTATAGATGAATGAATAGCTTTATTTTATTCATCACGACCATAATTAAAGTTGATTATACATTTATTTATATGAAAAATTCATCTAAAAACTGATTGTTAATTTACTGATAAAAAAACAACAACAACAGCAAATGAATGAGGTTTTTGTTGTACATTACTTTCTGTGTATTCACTTAATGTTAAATTGAGTTTGGAAGTGAATTAAATCAAAAATCAAATCAGACTAATTCAATGAATGGTCAATT